CATGTTTCCAACACCCTCAACCCTGCCAGCGACACAATCGCTTAGAGCAAACAAAGGAAGTTGGTGGAACAAATGAGGACCCCTGGTTTTCCAAAAACAATATTATGATGAGGAGACAGTCCCTTCCACTCCTGTGGTAGTGCTTGAGACTGCACATTGCAGTCGTTGGTGTGGCATAATCCGATGCGTTTGTGTTGTAATGTCTTCTGTGAACATTGCTGGCAGGTGTTGGTGCTGAGTCATTTTGCGTAGGTTTGATGGGCATTCTCATTCGGATGTCTGAACCCATTCTGTAAATTCAAACCTTAATTATTGATCGCTTTCTGATGACTTGCAGCTCCTCTAGTGTCTTCCCTGGCACGAGTTCTCTTCCTGTCAACCAGGCCTTCAGTTTCTGGTGTTTGGCCCTTTTAATGATGACCCTTTGTCAACAAAGCTGTGTCCTTCATATTTAAGCATACTAAGGCTTAAAGAACGAGGAACCAAAGAACAATTATCGCTGAAAGACATGCCTGGAATGTTGGGGTGGAAGGAAGGGCATGGTGGCAGAAACAGAAGGCAAAACTGTATGTTTGGTGTGACAAAGCTAGACTGGAACTGCCTCCTCAACTTTTGGGGTAGAATCCTGGTCAGATTTGTGTGGAAAACTATTCTTAATTGAGCATTTTGTGAAATCCAATAACCAGAACCTATTTTTAGTGATATTTTCTCTAATTTTAAATGTATAATGTAAGCATTTTCTTTTAATGGAATAATTTCACTTTAATACTACAGCAGTAGTGTTAAAACAACATGGTAAAAATAACTCGAGGCTCTTTAAAGGAAAAATCCTTATTCTTAGAACCATTAAGAAGCTATGTGCTTTAACAACTGAAGCTGATCTCCAGGATGGATGGATATGAAAAACTTCTCCAAGCTCAGATGGAGAAACTAGCTTGTTGCTGGGATGATCTTGGAGCACATAGACGATATCTGTGTCTGTAGCCCCTGTAAGTTATCTTAGGTTCATGAGTAAAGTTTTCTAAACCTATGAGCAGTGCCATTTTTTGACCCAAAGGGGTGACTTTCAGTCTCTTGATCCTCCTTTGAGTGAAAAGAAATGTCCTCCAGAGAGATTGTATCTATTTTATTCTTCACCAACTGAAAGATACAAATGTCTCCAACTTCATTTAATAGCATTTGTATATTAGGATATAGTGATTTTTTTTTAAAGTATGTATCATCATAGAATGTTGTTTGAAGAAAACCTGTCACTTGCCTGGAAAACTGTACAGATGTAATGGGATGCTATAAAATACAACTGTCTTGTGTTTCGCTTTGAATTCTATTTGACCACCATCTCCTCCATCGCAGTGACTGTTGCATGTCAAAGAGTAAATGCAGGGTGGTTGGATCTGACGAGTGGGTGGGTACCCTATGAAAGGCCAGCTACTCCTTACAAAGATGCCCGTGTGAGGAATGTATCTGTCTGCCAAGCTTTCTCATATTCTTTTGCTTTAAGTGCCACATTGTTTAAGGAGTGGCCACTCTTGATGAAAGTTTTTCTTCCAGATTTATAAATGCGAAATGAAGCCCATGTGTTCTCTCTCAGGTAGCTGGTGAGAACTTGTGCAATTGCACCTTCATTAAGAAAGGTATACCTCATTAGTGTGCTGGGGGCTTGTAAATTTTCAAAGGCTCAGGCCTGCAGCTGTTCAGGCAAGCAGCATGGAGAGGGAAGACCTCCACTATCCCAAGAGATTCTCCACCACCAACAGTGACTTTCCTTCTGTCGCTGATGCAGAGGCAGAGTGACGGTTCTCTGCATGGGGGATGCAGGGGCTGAGTCTGGGTTAACCGTACTGAGAGAGGACAGGGGTGTTAGTTGGTTGGGGTGGGGAGGTATAGATAAGGGGATAGTTTAACTAGGATTTCCCAGAGTTGGGTCAAACTAATAATGGTTCTGCAGGGGGTCAGCTTGAAAAAATGTGTTAACAAATTAGACAAGGTGGGTGAGATCTTTTATTGGGCCAACTTCTGTTGGTGAGAGAGACAAGCTTAAAGCAATAGAAGTTGGTCCAATAAAAGATACTACCTCACCCATCTTGTCTCTCTAATATCCTGGGACCAACATGGCTACTGCATATATTAACAAATGTCATTTACATACTGTATTGAGTACCTATGGGGCCTATCCTGACCCCTCTGCTTATAGATGGTGTCCCTTCCCTGTCTTCTCATCTGTCCTTTGTCTCTTTAGGTTGTAAGATCTTTGGGGGAGGGGACTGTTCCTCTTGGTTGGAAAGTGCCACAATGCTAGAAACGTGCTAGACAATCTACATACAATAGTAATCAGGGCAGCAAGCTTGGGCTTCACGGTCACCCAAGTACAGAGGGCCTGAAAAGCCCTATATGGCCCTTAAGTCCTGCACTGAGGCTGTGTTGGATGGAACACAGTGGGGTTTTTACACTCTGCTTTGGAATGGGCTGGGGAAGGGCTTGTTGGATCCAATGTCTGGGAAAGTCCCAAATAGGGGAGAGGGGTTTGGAGGGTTGGGACGCTGACCCCCACATCCCATCCCTGCCCATTGGTTGAGGGCTGAATTCCATCCTCCCCTGCACTTGCTTTGTTCCCAACACAAAGTCCATTCATTCAGACTTTGTGTGAGATTGGAGTGAACTTTCCCTTATTTAAAGAGCATAAAATGTAGCAACGTACTAATACAAAAATTCACCTTCAGGGTAAATGTACTCTCTCTCCCAGTGCTGAGGCACAGAGTGGGGTATTGAAAGCATCGGGATGTGAGGGCTATGTACCAGCACATGGATTGGTTTCCTTTCGAGCATGAAATTCCTCTTGCCACCCAGTGTTTCTACCTTTCACCTTACCTTTCAAAATGCCCTGAATTGTTGATGCTTTTTTTTTTAAATGGACCCTACCCTTTACCAGCTTAATGTTTTTAGATGTCTTAACATTTTGAAAATGGATTTTTGAACCTGTACATTTTATTTATATGCACGTAGAGCACAATAAACATGTCTGGATCCAGCCTTCAGTGGTGTGTCCTTGAGTATACATAGTTCCTCCTGCTTCAACTGATGATCCAGCAGACCATTCCCCTCTCAGATCCCTCTGGACGGCTTAGTGCTGCCAAGACGTCTGTAAGAATTGAGTTGGGTTATTCAAGTCTCCTAAAAGCCACACGTTTTTGCTTCATGGTTCTGCGCCCTCTTCTTTGCCAAGTAACTGTTGCTCTTAACCCATTCCTTCTTTGTTGTTCCATTAATCTTTGTTACATCATGTATGAATGTAGTTGTAAACTTGTGGCATGGGCCGTGTCTTAGTAATACCCAGGTGCCTAGCATGCTTTTGGTTGCTGTCAGATCTTTAGATTAGCCATCCACAATTTGTTCTGTAAAAATCACGGTGAGAAGAATTTAAATTAGGTTTAGCTGACTTCACACTCCAAATATGATTCTGAGCTCATTCCTCTGAGGCCAACAAAGGTACCTTTTTAACCTCTCTTTATTTGTGTGTATACAGAGCTCAAGTGTCTTAACCATATTACACTGGCTACTCACACGAACTTCTATAAATTGATAACATCTAGCAAGATGATTTTATAGTACAAAGTGCAGTTCTGAGCACTAAAGTAGGTTAATTCCATTTTAGATCCCCTTTCAGAAATTGCTAAGGATTAAAACACATTGCTAGCAGAAACTGAAAGGGAAAGGTCTGGCTTGCCACGATCCGGGATCTTTGACAGCGGTTAGCTCCACAGCAATCATTCTCAGCCCCAACAGGTGGTTCTGTGAGAGCAAGGATGGAGCCAACACCTTATTTCCAAAGCAGAATTCCCAAGTGTTTCCTCTTGCTTTTGTTTCAGGATCTTCAGACCTCTGGCAGCTTGGCCTAGGCGTGGCTGTCTTCAGCAGTAGCAGTAGTAGTTCCAGAGTGTTTTGGAAGCCTTACCTGGCCCTCTGCGTGCCTGATGGAGCTGGTACCAGGTGCTTCAGTTTGAGACTGGCCTTCAGGAGACTTTGTGGAGGTCGTGGTGGTGGTTGAACCATTTAGGAAGGCAGATGGTTATTTATTACCTGTAGGGTGGTAGTCCTGTCCTAGACTTGGCAATGTACATACATGGAACAAGCTCCCTGACCCAAAGAGTTCACAATCAAGGTTTGAAATTTAGGTTGAAACCCAGAAGGGACTTGCCCTTGTTGCTCCATAGACAGGTCATAAGAACGGCCAGACTGGGTCAGACCAAAGGTCCATCCAACCCAGTATCCTGTCTCCCGACAGTGACCAATGCCAGGTGCCCCAGAGGGAGTGAACCTAACAGGTAATCATCAAGTGATCTCTCTCCTGCCATCCATCTCCACCCTCTGACAAACAGAGGCTAAGGACACCATTCCTTACCCATCCTGGCTAATAGCCATGAATGGACTTAACCTCCATGAATTTATCCAGTTCTCTTTGAAACCCTGTTATTAGCCCTAGCCTTCACAACCTCCTCAGGCCAGGAGTGCCACAGGCTGTCCAAAAGCACCTTCTTCAGACAGGTCCTGCAGGAGCACCCCGAAAATCCCACCCTCCGCACCCTGGGACTCGACTCCCAGCAGTTTGCGCTGTAAAACAGCGATCAGCCCTGACCCTCCACGCCCAGGCAGAGACTTTCTTCTCCAGCTCCTCTAGAAACAAGTTGTTATCATCTGCCATGATCCTACCCCTCTGCCGAGGCTTTAAGAGGCTGCTTCACTCCCCCCCCCCCCACAGCCCGCCCCCTTTCCCCTTCTTCCAGCTCTGGGAGGGCAGGTGCAGGTCTCCGGCTGGGATAACTGGGTCAGGCAGGATCTGGGGGCGGCGGGGGGGTGGGTGGGACTAGAGCTGCGAGCGCTTTATCCCCTCCCACTCCTACTATTCGCTCCTGGAGCCAAGTTCAAATGCTGGGACCCAGCTGGGGCAGGAGAGGGAGCGGCAGGGGCCCCGGTTGAGACAGGTCCCCTGCGCCGGGCATCCTGGAGCTTGGAGGGACCGTAGGGGACCATGCAGCCTCCCTCCCCGGGCATTTGCAGATGTGGGGATCGGCACCGCGAGCGATAAATGGTGAGTGTCCCGGGGGAGGGGAGGGGGGTTGATCCCAGCCAGCGGCAGCTGCCACCTGGAAGTTTGCGCCCGGGGGGGGGGGCTGAGAGGGCATTTGGGGACCATGTGGGGTCCCCCCCCCGCATAGGAGAAGCACCGATTCCAGCTAGATCCAGGAGAAGGGACTGGAAATTCCCACTCAGCACCGGCCCCCAGGGACTGTTCCTCAGTGAGAAACCCCGCTCGCCACGGGCCAGACTTTCCTGTAAATGTTCCCGCTTTGCAGCGGCGGCTGCTTGTTTCTGGAAAGGGCAGGATCTTCCCCCGTCCTGGTGCTGGCTCATGGCTGGAGCCCGTTCATTGCACGGAGCCAGCGTGGGCGTGTGTAGATACTTGGGGGATGGGGGGGTCCACTGGGGGCTCGTCCCCGCTCTGTGAAAAGAGCACAACGCATCAGCCTGCTGGTGTGATCGGGGGCAGCCGAGCCAGGGAGAGAGACCCTTCTGCAGGGGAGACAAACTCCTAGCCCTGAAGTGTATCAGAATCAGTGCATTGGCGGAGGGGGGAAGCTCTGGCCTTAATTAGCAGTGTGTTGACATCGATTTCCTCCGGGCTTGTCTGCCAGGTTTAAGGCAGAGCCAACCAGACCCCTTCCGCCCTCCAAGCTACCCAAAGCGACAGGGGTCATCAGGACAGTGCAAGCCAGGACACCGTGTGGGGACCAAAGTGATTTCTGCTAGAGCAGATTCTATGCCGCTGAGTTTAGAGCATGTGCCACCAGGAAGTGCTCTATCAATACTGGTGATTTCCCTTATCTGTCTCTGTTTGCTAGAGGATTAAAGCCAGGAAAGACAAGATTAGCCCCCTCAGGCATATGCAAAGCACAATTTAATACCTGAGTTTTTCTTCCCAGTTCACAGACCTGTTCTTAACCTTACAAATCACTCCTGGTCCTTCCATGGAAGGAGGCGACTTCTAAACCCAGAATGAACTTTTCCTGGATGCTATTAACAAATATTAAGTGATGCCAATTTTGAAATGATGTTGTGTGTGTGTGTAAGGGGGGCAGGGGCCAAAACCGTCAAACTGTCATGGAGAGAGAATTCGTAATCCCCAGGCATGTGAATTAACTATAATAACTTTTTCCACCTCTGAACAGTGCCAATTACTAAGAGAAAACAGTTCTCATGATTTGTTCGTTAGAGTCTTCCTTCCACAAGCGTGTATCTCTTACGGGCACCCCTCCACCAGGCTGGTCACGTGAGTTGTGAGAATCGCGGGTCATAGCCTTTGAGAGTGTAGCCAGCCTGTCTTTTTAACGGCAGACTGTGTTTCTTCACATATTAAGGACTGAAAATGTAGTACCCGTCCCAGCTGCTTGGAAATGGTGCAAGTGTTGCTCTGTTCCGGAATTTGATATTTATGGAAAGAGTCCTTTACTTAATAGTTCAAGTGAAATTGCATGGCCTTCTTTCCTCTGTGGGGAAGCCTTCCTGAGTAGCAACCCTTAGGCTTTGGCCGGTGTCTGTGTGGAAAGGGATATTCCGTTTGCAGCGAAGCTGGCATTTTGATGAATGGCTTTGAGCGTTATTTATATCTTCTGTGCTGGTTTGAAGTTTGCTCTGGAGTGAGATCTCCCTTCTCTTGGGGAAATGTACAGAGAAAACAAAGCTGTGCAACTGGCGTATCTGAGAAGATTCTGCCACACCCAAATAGAAATTCCACTCCCTTCGCTGGGGCCGAAGGAAGTAAACCTAGACCATTCCTTGACGCGTCTGAGGATCATTGATTTTTCAAAGACAGGACAAGCACTGAGATACAATTTACTTACTTCATCCACTCAACAGTCTCAGATATCAAAGCTTTGGCTTCAGTGCTGTGCCACGGCTGGCTTCAGTACTGCGTGGAAAGCCTGAAGCCTGAAGGTTTGACTAGGGATCCGTGCTGCACCAATGCAAGCAGGGAGCTGCGTAGGCTGTTTCCCCCCCATTTAGCCATCAAAAGCGTCTGTTTCGTTCCTGTGTGAGACCGCTGAGCACCTGGATTAAAGGAACTTTTTGAGAAGCTGGAACAATGCAGAACAATTGCACAAGAGACCATGTCTCACTGGATTTTATTGCTCCTGTATTTTATATTCAGCACCTTTTTAAAATGTGACAAAATAGGCTTCCCACACAGCAGCCATTCTTCTGCCTATTCGGGCCTCCTCTGTCCCTATGCACCATCGTGACAGCTGCCCCCAGTTTTGTTTGGACACATAAAAACACCTCTCCAAGGACTGAGATGCTCTTGCCATTAATTCTAAATGAAGTCTTTGGATTTGACCCTGAAATGGCCTGGGACCATCCGACCTAAGACTGCATCTCTCCCATGACTGAAGCCCCTTTGCTCTAAAAGGAGGAGGAAGTGCTGGCAGCGTGTTCTCCAGGAGGGCCTCTCAGCTTTGGAGTTTCCTCTCCCCTGATCTGATAAAGTCCAAATCTGTCGGGAATGCTGCACAACCTGGTTAGCTGACTCAGGGACATGTATTCCCAAAGGATACCTTATTTATACTGTAGTCCAATGTACTCTTCATACTTTCCACTTCTTATATAGGAGCTCCCCATATGCACTTCTGGAGTCCACGCTGACCCCTCCCTGTACAGCCGACCATTCTGCTTTTAAACCACACAAGCGAAACCAGCTTCCTTTCAGCCTAAAAGGCAAAGGGAAGGCAGGTCTCCAGTGCCTGGCACTAGTGTACAATGCTGAAGCTGCCTTGTTCTTTCCCATCTAGATTCTCCCCAGGACTCTCCTTTGTGCTGTTCTGCTGCTGCTGCTGCTTGTATCGGTGCTGAGCAAGGGCAAGGCAAAGTGCAGCATTGTGGAAATCCTGCGGCAATACCAAGCCGTGATCTTTGATGAGCTCCAGAACCTGGTGAGTGGAGCGGACAGTCCCCGGCGGGTGGGCGGGCGGGTAGACAAATGTAGCTATCTGGCCATGTGGCACGGGTTGTCTTAGACTGTGTCGGGCCTTTGGAGCAGGGACCGTGGCTTCGCTGATGTGGGTACAGCGCCCAGCAGAATAGGGCGTCCATCCTACCTGGGCCTTTAGGCATTGCTGGACTATAACAGTGTTCCCTGCGAATGGGAAGTGCGTACCAAGAGTGCCACTGGAATTCAGCTGCCAAGGCAACAGCAAACTCCCCACCCCCATGAAAAGTGCCAGGAGATTTTTGTAAGGGGCACTCTCCCCCCATCAAGCCAGCCATAGAGCTTCATGGGGTGCTCTGCTCAGTTCCATGGGTCTCTTCTCCCCAGCGCATATAGCTTGAGAGCGCGGGATAGTAACTTCAGGGGAGCCGGGGGGAAAGGCCCAAAGCCGAGCAGCTTGTAATCCTTTTATTTTACACAGAAAAACTTGACTCGATCTGCTGAAACCCCAAGGAGGGGGAGAGCTGGCCTAGCCTGCCTCTCTAACAAGGTAAATGCTTTCTCTGCAACGTGCTTTGGGGTGTGTGTGTGTGTGTACACCAGCATCCTGTGCTAGATGAAATCAGGACTGCTCAACTGTGTGTCATCAGCCCTGTACCGCTAGCTAACAGTCGGTACTTCCCTTTAGCTCAGTGAGCACTGTCTGTGTATGTGGAACAGGGTGACGTGGGTTCTCTTCCTGTTTTCACACAGGTTTGGCCATTGAATGGGTGTGAGAAAGAGAGTGGGGGCTGAGATGTGAGTCTGTACAATACTGGGTCACACAGCAGGCGATCCTGCAGTGCATGTAGGCAGGCCGTTTGTCTGGTTTTAAGCTGCAGAGTCTTCTTCTTGGGTGGTTTGTTCCCTGTCCGGGACTGAGACAAAACCAGAGGTGGTTTTGTCCAGTATCGGACAGGAAATGACATTTTGGAGAGCGCACTGCTCCCCCCCCTTGCTGTGCATGCGAGGTCACATGGCAAGGCTGGACTGGCACGCCTTCAAAATGGCGTCATCTGTGCAACGTGACCTCATGCACGCCATGCGTGCGAGTTCCCCCCAGCAGGGGTGGAGCGGTGCGCTCCTCAAAATGGCGTCTGCAGCACGACTTCCTATGCCCCACGTGCGCAAGGTCGCGCCGGTGGGGTGGGCCCACGCCATTCCAGAAGTACCGGAAAGCCAGGTGTTGTGGGAATGCGTGAGTGGCCACCCAAACTGCCCAGCGGTGACTAACTCTCATGCCAGGGCCACTCAGCATTTCGTGGCAGCAGAGACACGGCCAAATTGTGACTGGCGCTCGCTCTCGAGCCAGTTCGACACACTCCCCTCGCTAGACAAAGCCCAGCCACAAGTGTCTGAGACATAGGCTAGGTCTACACTATGGGGGGGGTCGACCTAAGATACGCAACTTCAGCTACGTGAGTAGCGTAGCTGAAGTGGCGTATTTTAGGTCGGCTTACCTGGCTGTGAGGACGGCGGCGAGTCGACCGCTGCCGCGCCGCCGTCGACTCCGCTTCCGCCTCTTGCCGCGGTGGATTTCCGGAGTCGACGGCAGAGCCATCAGGGATCGATTTTATCGCGTCTTCACTAGACGCGATAAGTCGATCCCCAATAGATCGATTGCTACCCGCCGATGCGGCGGGTAGTGAAGACGTGCCCTCACAGACGTTCCAGTCCCACTCTTGACCCTGGTGTGACAAGTCTGCAGGCAGTGTTGTCCCTGTGCTGTACACCAGGGCACCTCAGAGCTCCGTGGCTACAGCAGGGGATAGAACTCGAAACCCTGGGACTCCGAACTGCCATTTGCTATTGGAGCAGTTACGATTCTATCCAGGAGGAGGCAGTAGGGCGTCGGCACGCTAACCAGTTCATTGCGATATGTGCCCCTTTGCTTTCACACGGTTCACTGCTAACACCTGAGGATTTTGCTGTTTGCTCTGTTCTGAGTTCCTGCCCGGCAGCTTTTGTGTAGCTAAAAAGCCCTCGGTTATTTATTAACACCTGAGGATTTTGCTGTTTGCTCTGCCCCACAGCTTTTGTGTAGCTAATAACTGAGGGCTTCTTCTTTTGTATTCAAACAAGGGGAAGTGTGTGTGTGTGTGTGTGTGTGTGCGGGGGGGTCATCAAAAAAGGGAAATGGATGTGCCCAGGACCTGCCCTTTGAGGGAAAGGCTGCAGGTCTCTTTAGCAGCTGGGGTGGAGGCGAGCCTGCTAGGCAGCAGCAGTGCTAACGTGGCGGTGCAGGTGGATGGGCAGCAGGTAACACTTTTATCACTTCCACGGTGACACTGCCTGTGGCCACAGCCTCATGCCTTGTTCCCCAAGCGGTCGGCAGAACAGCTTCCCTAAGCTGTATTCTAGTGGGCATTACGGTACAGAGTGGGGGAAGGGACTTTTTTTGGCAGGGTTGGGCGACGCCGACGACTATATTTTAGGGCACTATTTACTCCAGTGATCTAAGATGCTGGGACCCCGAGGTTGTATTAAGCTACCACTGGCTCCTCTACTTAATCATAGAGTTTTCTGCTTGAGTTGGCAGCCTCTGCACATCTGGATTTTGCATCTTTCTTTGTTCAGGAGCAGAAAATCCTGCTGTCTATCTCCACCATGAGCATGTCTCTCAGGGACATGGTCAGAGGCCCCTGGAGGAATCCTGAAGTGGTGGCTGTGATGCAGGTGGTCAGCAACACGGAGTCTGTGACCAAACAGAACTGCAAGAAAATCCACAAGGTCAGGGCTTGCTTTTCTCTTCTGCCATGCAGCTGGCACAGTGCAAAAAATAGCAGCCATTCATTAAGAAGTTTAAGTGTTGTAACCTTGTTGGTCCCAGGATATTAGAGAGACAAGGTGGGTGAGGTAATGTCTTTTATGGGACCAACTTCTGGCGGTGAAAGAGACAAGTTTTTGAGCTCTTCTTCAGGTCTGCACAAGCTCAAAAGCGTATCTCTTTCACCACCAGACATTTGTCCCATCAAAGATATTACCTCACCCACCTTGTCTTTGTTGGGCACCCAGAAATCCGGGGTGGCTCTATGGCTTTTGCCGCCCCAAGCATGGCAGTCAGACAGCCTTTGGTGGCATGCCTGCGGGAGGTCCGCCGGTCCCGTGCCTTCGGCGTACCCGCCACCGAATTGCCGCGGGACCGGCGGAGCTCCCGCAGGCATGCCACCAAAGGCTGTCTGACTGCCGCCCTACAGGGACCACCAGGCCGCCCCCCGCGGCTTCCCGCCCCAGGCACGCGCTTGGTGCGCTGGTGCCTGGAGCCGCCCCTGCCAGAAACGATGCCTTCGAACTGTCACTGAGCTGTGCTGTTGTCTGAAATGAATTCCCTTAGCCGTCTCCTGCGGGAGAACCCTGGGGAAACCCCAAGCTGATAGCCACCCTCTCCCTATCTGGCACTAGTGCTGGGTTCATTAATGGATACTCTTCACCTGGGAGAGTCGCGGGGGAAAGCCCAAGCTGAGGGAATCCATTCGGATGTTTGATGCCCTTGTGCAAGACTCTGCCGATGAGCTCAGGTTACCTGGCACAGTCTCAGGAAATCCCCGGCTCCGCCCCCTCCTCCACCCAATTTGTCAGAGTAACTAATTTATTTAGTGTCGTCTCATTGGGGAATGTGGCTGACTGGTCTGAATAGCTGATCGATCGGAGCGCCTATGAATGGAGACTGATACCTGGGGGAGGGAACCATTTCAAGTCCTCTGGGGAACAGATCTTGTGTCTTCTCCACTTACCAGGTGACTTTCCTCCATACTAGATGTGTGTGGTCTGCATTAATTAGCCAATATCCAATGCTGGGATTATTTATGAGGATTCTAGGCTGTTGTTGAAATATATATAAATATATAGGAGAAATACCTCCGTGCCCTATCCCCCCCTGTTGGAAGTTTTACCTTGGGACGTTCCACCAGGTTGGAACGCACCCACCCTCTCTGGAGAGTGATACTTGATGGTACAACCCCGCACCTCACAGGTGGCTTCTCTCCTGTACGGCCAGATGTGCACGTGCGCGTCCAGGTATCCAGCAGAGCGCACGCAAGCCCCTGGGAAGTGTGTGTGTTACAGGTCCCACACCCTCGCCAGTGGGTTACATGCATGCTTGGGGACCCTCATTTTCCAGTGCTATGCCCCTCCCCACTGCTTTTCCCCACATGCTCCTGGGGTACGAACAGCCCTGAACTGGTCTCTGTCCTGTTCGGCGTCTGTATCTAGGCCTTGGTTTTCATTGCCGTGACTGTTTTTCTTCCTTTGCTAACAGAAGAGTCTGTCAACAGCTACAGAGAAACCGCGACCCAGAGGCCAGGGCAACAGGAGAAAGCAGCTGAAGGTGATAGCGCGAACAGTGGAAAACTTGGTCACCTGCTGGGAGAAGCTGTTCTCTCTCCACTCAAAGGACTGGGACACATAGGGTCAGTAGGAAGCAGGGTATGGTGCCCTCCCCATGGGTGCTGAGTACCTGGGATTGTACCACCACCTCCGTACTAGCCAGTAAGCAACACTGATTTCCTGGAAACTCCTGGCCTTCTGATTTCTTGGTTCTGCCGTTGGGTGAAGCAGGCGGTGCTGGGGCAGGCTTTCCATTGCATCCCATCCTTCTCTGTGGGGACTGGAGAGGGACGTCTCTTGTGCTCATGGCCCGCTCTGCTGCTGTTCCAGGTAGCAAATACTGAGGGTCAGATTCAGCCCTGAAATCAGCTGAGTGGCATCAACAGAATTTGCTCCTTTGTGCTGAATAAAACTTTGTTGGACATTTCCACAGCGGGGGCCTTGGCTCCGGCGGGTCTGTATGTTAGGAATTTGGAAGGACAGGGCAGCGAGCAGGCAGTGAAAGAAGAGGGTAATAGGGTAACAAGAGGCTCCTGGATTATGAAAATGCTTCTTGTCTGCTAGGAACTCTCTCACACTGTGTAACACTGACAGACCTGTTGTTGGTGGGTGGGATTGAATCTGGGACCTGTGGAGCTTAACTACGTGGGCCCTACCGCATGAGCTAAAGGCCATCTCCCTGTAGAGTAGACTCATTTTATCTCTCTCTTTAAGTGGTCTCAGTACCACTCGATGGGACAGAGCACCACACCCAGGAGGTGTGTGGGTTACAACTGCACCACCTGAGATGATGTCTGCTGCTTTCCCGGGGCTGTTCATTGACATGCAATATTGGCTTCATAGCCCGGAAGGTGCTGGGAAGAAAGCCATCTAGCTTCTGAAGGGTTGCTGCTTCAGGAAAGGCTGGGCATGGTAGCCATCGTGGCAAGTAGTCTAGGAAATCTTAGATCCCCCTGACATTCCCTGGGTTTGAACTAGCTCTCTCTCCCTCGTTCTTCCAACCTGCGCTCAACAGGCTGGTGCGGAGAATGAAATGGACTTTCTACAGCTGCTGCCATCTCCTGGAAAAACCAGGAAGAATAGACAATTGAGAACCACTTGTATCGCCTCTCGGGGCCGGGTTTCTCTTCCCATCGTTCTTTGTGGTGGACACTTGCAAGTGGACAAGGGAAAGCCAAAGTGCTGTAGGAAGTGGGGTTGGTGACTCAGGAAGTGGTGCTCTTCCCTCTGGGTCAGGGCTGAACTGATGTTGCCTCGTGGTGCTAAGGGGAAGGCTGTGCTGCCTAGATGTAAAACCAGCCTTTAGTTGCTCGTCATTTATGCTGTGGTAACTACTGTCCTCTTCCTACCAGCAAAACAAATCCCCTGCTGCTAGAAGAGAGGCACCAGAACTCGCCCTTTAATCAGTTATAGAAAACCAGTTGTTGCTGGTAGGGCTCCAGCCCTGGAGGCAGAGCTGCTCCCATTAGCTTCACCAGAGGACACGACTTGCTGTGGAGTCATGCTGAGTGGTGCATTAGGACATTCAGGGACATCCTAGCCAGTGGCTGCTGAGCAAAGTCTTGTATCTATATGAGGTGGCATTGGGACTCGGCTCCTGCTTGCCATTCTAGAGGGCAGCGGTTCAAATCCCTCTGTGGCCATGGCTGGTGGAGTAAAAAGTGTTTGATCACAGTAGTTCTTTCTGGCCTTGGAATCTATGAATCTCCTTCTCTCTGCTCTTCATGGGACAATGCCATTGCTGTACTCTGCATCGTGGCTGTTGGTCAAGGTATCTACTTGGTCAGAAACACAACACCAAGGGCCAAGTTCTCTGCTGGAGTTAGGGAGTGCCACTCCATTGCTGTCAGTGGGCCCTCTTACACCAGCGGTGAGTATGAGTTCAGAGGGAGCTGGTCTGAGATTCACTGAGCCCCTGCAGCTCTTCGAGAAGCACCCAGCCAGCCTAGTGCAGACAAGTGAACGTCATAGGCGGTGAGCAGAGATCATAAAGAAACATCCTTTTACTTACGGGGGGGAGATAGCTCAGTGGTTTGAGCACTGGCCTGCTAAACCCAGGGTTGTGAGTTCAATCCTTGAGGGGGCCAGTTAAGGATTTGGGGCAAAAATCTGTGTGGGGATTGGCCCTCTTTGAGCAGGGGATTGGACTAGATGACCTCCTGAGGTCCCTTCCAACCCTGATATTCTATGATACTGGCTGCCTGACATTTAAACATGAGCCTCCCCGAAGGAGCAGCGTCGGAAAGGAGCGCGTTTTCCGTGCACCAAAACAAAACCTCGGCAAAAATCCTTCAAATCCATGAGCTTGGGAAATACATAAATCCCCAGTGTATCCAACGCTGAAATGCCATAACGGTGATAATTAAAAACCCCCAGATGGTGGGGGAGTGGATAGTTTGTTTCATGAATAACAATTTTTCTCTTACCAACACATTCTGCCTGCTTTAAATTCTTGGGTGTGAACGCCCCATTGTTTGCAGCTTCTCAGAAGCTTGAAAATAAAACGTCTTCCCTTACTGATTCTGGATATTTGATCTAGAAAACACGAATTCCCCCCTCTCTTCTAGAGTTTGTACAGCTGGAGTGGAAGTCTGGGCCTCTATGCCTTGGCTGCTATTTTTAGCCATGCCAGTTGAATTAAAGCTAGCGCAGGTCTGGCCTACCCGAGCTGCAGTCACATCTTACTACCATCCTTTCCCTTCCTTGCAGCAAAAATACAGTCGACGGCTCTTCAGTCTGGGGACCAGATTTGATCACTAAACTAGAATTCCCTCTGCTGGCTGAAGGAGGTGGTGCAGACTCATCGGAGTAGCCCGTGCAACTCCCAGTTGTTCTGTGGGGCTGTCTTGCGGGTACGCTCCCTCTGCTGCAACAGTAACCCTTTGCAACGACCTGTGTAGGTACATCTATGGCTCTGCTTCACTACAGTGTCTCACGGGCATAAAGGAGTTTACCCGCACAATACCCCTGGGAGCAGAGAAGTGCTATTATCCTTGGAGTACAGATGGGGAACTGAGGCGCAGAGAGACCAGGGTACGTTTACACTGCAAAAAACACCCAACAACCCTGCAGCAGCGGGTTTCAGAGCCCGAGCCTACAGACGCAGGCTAACGCTAAGGCACTAAATGTAGCCGTGCAGGTGTTCCCGCTTGGGCTGGAGCTCAAGGTCTGCAAGCCCCCAACTCCCCAGGTTTCAGAGCCCCAGTGGGAACATCTACACCGCTATTTTTAGCACCATAGCATGAGCCCCAGCCTGCAGGCTCGGAGACTAGCTGCTGCAGGGTGTTTTTTGCAGTGTAGATGTCCCCGAAGTGACGTGCCCAAGGTCGCTCGCAGAGTTGGTAGCAGGCCCAGGAAGAGAAGCCAGATCTCCTGGCTCCCGGCCCTTGTTTGAACTCCTGGATGATGAGGGAGAGGTGAGTGGCACTGCATTCAGAGAAGTGGCATGTGCTCTCTGTGTGCCGGACAGGCCCATGAGCCCCCCACTCCAGAGCCACCATGGCTACGGGAGAGCAAGCCGCATCCCATGCTTCTCACACCTCCCACACCTGTCCCTGCTGACACAACCTAACTGCTGCTGACAGTGGAGTTCCTAGAGTAACGGTGGCAGTCTGGCTTAGTGGTTAAAACAGAGGGCTGGGCGGAATCACTCTGCTGGGTTCTGTTCCTGACTCTGCAGCTGGCTGGCCTTGGGCAAGTCACCCAGCCGGTCAAGCTCAGTTTCTCGTGCTGTAAAGTAGGTATGATGCTAATCGCAGGACTTGTCATATGAACTTGGAGCAGGGGCCAATCTCGGCTGGTATCCTCTCTCTGACTCTGGCCGGAACCAGGTGCTTCAGAGCAAGGTGCAAAGAACACGGCAGCAGGCAGGAATGGGAAAACCTACCCATGGGGCATGTTTCCTCGTGACCCCGGTTAGTTAGAGTCTGGCTCATGCGCTGAAGCATGAAGGTTTAGATCCCTTTCAAAACCCTGGGTGGTTTTTAGTCCTACTGACCTTTCCCTATCAATGCCCAATCCTGGTGTGAACCCTGCTAGGCATCTGGCCTCAGTGCTATCTTGTGGCAGGGGGGTCCGCAGGCTAGTTATACACCGGGTGAAAAAAATCCCTTGATCGGTTTTAAGTGAACTTCTCCCAGACTGCCTCTGAGGGAACTGTAGACATGCAAATGATTCTGCTGGGTTTCTTCTAGCAAGGATGGCTTGTACCCTGAGCCAGCCTGTTAGGAACCGGACGGGGGGAATAAACGTGGAGCCCCCTGGGTTGTTCCTGGAGAGGTGGCAGGTCAGAGAAGTGGCACCTAGGGCTGGGTGGTCCATTGCCAGCATGCTGCTGCCCTTCCGTTTGGAACGGAGCCAGCCTCCCTTGTTCCGGGACACCACCCTGCCCAAGCGAGGGAGGCAGGCTCAGGCAAGGGCTGTGACTATCCTCTCGAGCCAGCCCACACCGGAGCGACAGCCGCGAGCGGCCGAGGGACCCCACGGGGCTGCTCGTCATCGACCCAGCAAAGCGGCCCCGGAGCGGTGCGGCTGGCGCTGCTGCTAGAGGGTTAATGGGCTGTGGCAGGCTTGGCCTCTGCCCTCTCCTGCCCCCAGCCCCCGCCAATGCACCGGGGGAATGTGTGATAACCCGATGGCGGTGGCTCCAGCTAGCCCCTCTGGGCCTGATCCTGAGGGCCCTGCGGTCAGTGCACTGAGCAACTTCAGCAGGGAGCAGGTGAGTGGGGCCGGCTGGAGAGGAGCTCAGCCGGCAGCTGCTTCCATCAGGCCCTGCCCCGTCCCTTCCCTTTTACCCTCCTGTGTTCCTTGGCTTCCCCACCCCTCTCTGTCTCTGCACTCCTGCCCCCTCCTTCGCCTTGCCGCTGTGCGGTGCCCTGGCAACCCCACGTCCCTCCTCCTCCCGACGCCGCAGGCTGCCTCAGTGGCTAAGGTTAGTCCCCAAACTAACTGTTGGGAGAGGGGCTCCTCCTTATGACCCCCCCACTCCCCCAAGAGACGGCACTCTCCCTCCTATGCACTTTCCCTGCCCCCAGCAAGCGGGGAGAGCATGGGCTAGTGGTTAAAGCAGTGAACAGGGCCGGAAGGCATCTCCCCCCAACTCTGCCACTGGCCTTCTTTGTAACCCTGGGCAAATTCCTGCCTCGCTCCCTGCCTGGGTTTTCCTAGCTGTGAAATGGGGATAATCGCTCTTTATTTAATACTCAGGGGCAGGGAGTGCCCGGAGGCCCTGCTCAGGATCCCACGTGGGCTG